CCAATTCCTAACGTTCTGTGATTCTGTGATTTACCATCCCCACATAAAATGAAGAAATTATATGCAAATTAAAGAAAATACCTCCACATTCAATCTCTGGTGACCATTTTCCAGACACACAAGTTGCCTGTTTAATACTTTTGTCAGCTGATGTACATGTATAACGTATAATCCTATGAAACCTAGTTTCCTTTCTTGGCTTGGAAAGATGATCATTGTGCACAAGCTCAATATTCATTGGAATTACACACCGAGGAGATGGATCTGGGAAAAAAAAATCAGCAGAGGAAGCTGAAAAAATAGGTTTAGTTCAGATAATATGTACATGCACGTTCACTGATGAAAAGGTTATCAGCTTCCTAATGTGAAAGAGGTTTCTTATTTACTATAGTTTGAAGCCATTCCTAAGATTCCCACATTACAGAAACAGAATGCTGCTATCTAAAGTAGAGACTGTTTCCACTCACAAAGCATTTTTTTATATTGACAGTATTCCTTTTGCTAAGTGAAGTAATATAAAAACTAAGCTAATTTTCTTCCCTAAAACTATAAAAAGGTAGCAAGAAAATAAACTTTTTTTTGCTTGTAGAACCAGTAGCATGAAGGAAGTACTACTCCACACAAAATATGGATCAGGTATTAATCTCCTGTGGAAGAGTATCCAAGTCATAAGCAGGTCTCCTGGACTGGTGATTCTGAGAGTCAGAACACAAGCTAAGCAGACTGTGTTTTGTGCCAGACTCAGTCCTCAACATAATAGTAAATAAAGGCACAGTTTACTCAAATCACTGATGAATAGAGAATCACTTCTGAAGAAAGGGGGAAACAAGGATTGAATATATCCTAAACTGTATTCTGGTAAAGATAAGTGAAATGCTGGAGTAATTTATCCCAGACAAGACTCCTTTTCCAGTATTGCTTTTCCTTAAGTTACTGACACCAATGTAATTTTTTTCCCCCTTAAGAAAAGGCTTTGTTTTGTACCTTTTTAAAGGACATTAATTCAATTCATCCATTGCAAAACTCAGTGGGAATGAGAAAAAAAGAGAAAACTACTGATCAGAAATGAAAAGTACTAAGCTACATAAAAATTATGAGGATAGGATAAGCATACCACATTGTGGCTGTTAATATAATTTTAAATTCCCAGTAGGATTTTAAAAAACTAAAGTAGTGTACAGAGACATAAAACTACAAGTAATTAACACATCAGGCACGCTACTTTATTGCGGGTAAGTCCCGAGGCTTCTGAAGGGCCATTACCAGGAAAATGCGTAAAAGCCACCGTACACCAAATATGTACTTCCCTACTTGATTTTACCTGAAATATTATGGAAATAGATTACCTGCACAAAGAGGTAAAGGCTTCCATTCCCCATTAAGACATTTTATTTTCATTTCCTTAAAATTGCCAGACCCTCGTTTACATCCACAAATTACTTCATCACCGTGTGAAAACTGGGTCTGGTCTTCCTGATGAAGAACAACATTGGGAATAGCAGAAGGTGATCCACATGACATTTTGTCTTCTGTTGAGAAGAGCAGAAGTATTCCACAATAATATCAGAGTCATATATGAATAGCTGAAAGAACTTAAATAAAAATAACTATATTTGCATTTGGTGAGTCAAACTTACTCCCATTAATTGTAACAACTGAACTTCAACACAGTATGCATGTTTTAGTCAGTTCATTAAATATCTCTCTTGTCTTTTTTCTTCATTTTCCACCACTGTGGTAACTCCACAGCATGCTGCACAAATAGTTTCAGTTAACATTAACTTCCCAAACTGTTTTTCATTAGTACATAAACCCTAAATTGTAAGAAAACCTTCAATTAATCCAATTTATCTGCATCTCTTGAGTGAGATCAATCCAACTCACCTGGATCCCTGATTCTGATCAGTCAAAATTATACTTGATTATATACCTATATATTTGTAAGTGTACTTTCAATTAGTATCATTACATGAATTGAAAGCCACTGAAATATCACTTAGAGGGCCTGCAGCACTGTCACCTCTGCATAATAAAAGCAGTTTCTGCCTTGGGCTGTCACTGTGGCAGTGGTAGTGATAGCAAAGGGTAATGGCTTACACAGATGAGTGCAGCAGTAGTTTTTTTGAAGGACGAAAAAGGCATGTAAGGGGAATAATGGCACACAGCCTGCTCTTAATGTGGGAGAAGGAAGACCCATTTTAAACTCAAAAAAATGAAATTTTAAAAACCCTGCACTCAGGTTTGGACCACTCTTCTCTCGAGCCTGTGCACTGAAATTACTCTGTTCTTACTGGATCAAGGATTGAAAAGATGCAAGCTCTATGTTGTACTTTTTAAACCATCAGTGCTACTCATAGAAGACATGTCAGAATGTATAAGTATAGAGACAGAGTAAACCAATCTATAAAAAACCCACCATTTATTGATTCTGCTGTTAGATGATCTTGCACCATAAGAACAACCCATATTATTTTCTGTATTTACAGATTTTCAGTTTGAATATGCCATTCTATTTCAATTCTGAGACACTGTGTTAAAAACAAATAGTAATTTTGCACAAGTATTTTTTAGCTCCTGTCATTGACATTCATACTCTCAGGTTAGAGGTACACTACCTAAAGATACGCACAGAAAGTGGGTGCTTTTGCTTAGGCAAGAGACTTGACTGTAGAACAATTCTGCCCAGGGAGGTGGTGGAGTTCACCATCCCTGGATGTATTTAAAGAGCGGGTAGATGAGGTACTTAGGGATATGGTTTAGGGGGTAGACAGGAGCGGTTGGACGTGATGATCTCGGAGGTCTTTTCCAACCGAGCGATTCTGTGATTCTGTGAATTCACCATTTCAATATCAGGACTGTAAAAAACTGGTAGACGTGTCTGACTCTAGCCTAGGGAAGACAGCAACATATATAATGCATTCATAGTCATCCTGTGGTAGCCCTGTGCCTCAGCAACATACAGTATTGTCATTGCTAGAAAAAGACCACAGAGTCAGTACTGAGCTCGCAAGACCTCAGGATGGAGGCTCAAAAGGCTTACTTGTCAGAACTTGTCCTGATCTGCCAGAAGGCTTGCTTTTACTTGTTTTAGCTGTAACAGCAATTTTTCTAGTGACCAGGCTATTAGCTATTTATTTCACTTTTGGTTATCTCTGCATGGCACAACCATAGATTGATATACATAGTAGTAACAAGTTTTTAGTCTCTGTAGAGTGAATAATTATGTCTCTAATATAATGATGCAGGTGATTACAGGGCTGGTATGATAACAGAGTCCTTGAGAAGTGGGGACAAAGGTTGGGTATGGCAGAGTATAGGCACTGGATGGTAAGAGACAGGGCATAGCCTGGCACCTCAAGGCCACAAATAGCTCACAAAATGCTAACTTAGACCTAGAGCTGGTTAAAACTGATTTTAGTGGTAATAAGAAGAACACGTATCTAACTTATTTAATACACACTTAACATATCTAATTCAGAACTTGTAAACCTGTGAAAAAGGGGCAAGGCATAACAGCTAACTAGCAAACCTAAAAATTACCCCAAGCAGATCCTGTAAGAAGGAAGAGGAAATCATCAGGATCAACAGCTTATTCCTCCCAGTGAATGATTTGAGATACCGATAATGTGATGTAATTTCCCTTCAAAACACACCAGACTGAAGCCATTGACTTTAGGACCCAAAGGTGCAGTGGAAGGGTGAGCATAAAACCAGAAAAAGGGGTAAATAAGAGAAAGTGTATGTAAAACAATTGCAATGACATATTATAAATGCTTTGTATTATTTATATATTTATAATTATTCTTTATATATTAGGTATTAATTTTCTTTCTATAATAATTTCATCTGGGCCCACAACAATTCTTTGATTGGACTGTTAAGCTTTCAATTATACTAGTAATAAAATTTTGGCTTTACATAGTGTGCATTTACTTCTCATGCATAAAATGATTTTGAATGTCATATGTTATACTTGCAAATATGTAATTTTAATGTGAAAATAGCTGTAAGTGTACAAGTAAGTGTTATTATAGATTACCGATGCAAGAGGGAGGAGATGACCATTGTCCATCAACACATTCTATTTCCTTTGATCCAACCAATTTAAATTCGATGTTGCATTCGTATTGCTTTATGTCCCCATGCTGATACTGTTCCATAGAGCCATCAGCAATACTTCCATTGGTAATCTCAGGTGGAGGTCCACAGCCTCTGGCGTTCGCTGAAATTAAGGGGTGAAAGATATGCTCTGAACTCAGTACTTCTAGCACGGTTATATGTTAAGTGCAACATAAATTGAGTTGTGTTCTAAAGATAGGAAAAATCAGTAGAACTGATTAAACAGGTCATTGTTTTATGCTTTTGAATATCTGGATTCATGCTGGGCTGGAGATCACAAACAGATATGCATGACCCTGGCTCACTCTACTCTCTTACTCCCAAGCACTGTCAATTGCCTGCTAGGATAAAATAAGTGGCTGATAAAACCAACCCAGTTTTAAGTGTGTGTGGGGGTGGGGGGAAGCATGTTATATGGATTGCAACTTCAGTATTTTTTTTAAAAGAGTGAAAATTCTGCAAGAAATAATAACATGTGTTATAAAAATCACACGGCAAGTGATATATACTGTATATTAAAGGAATCTACTTCTGATTAAGTGAATGGAACTCCTGTTAAGGGAATTTAAAATGTTCCTGAGCTAAGGAACAAACTATATGAAACATACATGTTTTCAAATGCAAAAGAGTGAGTAAAAAGAAGAAGAGAGCACAAAAGACAAGGAAATTGAGTGCAAAGAAAGGGAGATGAGAAATGTGAGAACCCTTCATGCTCTTGAGGTTTCTCATGAAAGGGCATAGGACCAGCAAAATAAACTCTTTTCAGATGCCACTAAGTCGTGCTCTGTCTTAAAAAGGATGAGAAGAATAGGGGCATATGTCTTCCCTTCTGTACAAGTTTGTTCATCCTACTAGATGAAGCTGAGGAATTTCACAGGGAAAACCCTTCACAAAGTTTATTTTACTTGGTTCCAGTTCTGTGTCATCTCCAAAAGAGTGTTTGGGTTTTTTTTTTTCTTCAGTAGCATGTGACCAGAAAAAGGAACATAGGGTCCAATATCTGATGGGTATCAGCTAATGCATTGGCAAAACTTAGGACACTTAGGATACAGAAAGAGAGGACATCACACAAGTTAATCTCTCCTGGCTGCCACATTGCACATTGTTTATGCTTTTTGAACAATAAAGAATTTTTCATATTCAGTAACCTGTGCAAGCCATTCACCAACTCGCTTTCAGTTATTGGAGAACTATAATTGGCATGACAAAAGCTAACAGAAAGTTCAAGTGTTCAGAATCTTTCACATGAAATAACAAAACACTATGAAATGATCCAAAGAGGACCCATTCCTGCCCTTTTAGAAACAAAGATGGGATAATTCTTCTTGGGAGCAAGACTGGCTTATAGAAGGTATCTGCAGAAGTCTTCAAGACCTAGGCATTTCCATATCTTTCCTACTACAATTAAGTTAAAAGAAGAATTACCTTTACAGACTGGTGCTGATGGAAACCATCCAAAGTAATAGCACTGAGTAGAGGCAGGTCCTACTCTTAAGTAATTGTTTGCACAAGTAAATTTCACAACATCTCCATTTCGGTATTTACCCTTCTTGGGAGAAAAATCTCCATTGGATAATGTCAGCATTTCACATTGTATTGCTACAAAGACAAAATATTTTAATATGTAGTGTAAACCCTACAAAAAGTACATTAATCTCTGCTGATTAGAACACAAAGAAAGTCTCAAAGGAAAAAGCTTTATAAAGTGCATACAGAGTTACATTGATTACCAAACACGACAATATTCACCAAGACACTGGGGCGTTGGACTCCATTGACCATTTGTGCCACACCTTGTGGTACCTGTTGGCATATTATTTGCAGTTTGATATCCCTCCAAACATGCATACTCAATTGTCTCTTCAGGCAGGAACATAGTTTTATTTTTGTGGTAATTCAAAATATCCAAGTGAGGTGTTTTACATGATTCTACAGAAAAAAAAACCACAGTTAGTGCATTTTGTGATCAAGAAACAATACCCTTAGGAAGCAACACTTCTGTAGGTGCTTTAGTGTGTGCTAATCTGCTGAACTACTCATTGAAACACTAAAAATTCTGCATTGCCAAGATATCTATGTAGAGTATCATATATAGCATATTTGCATAATATCCATTGTGGTAATCTTCAGAAATGTGTATAGAAGTAATATCAAGCATAAATATTTCTTTTAGAGTTAATTCCTTTCCTTCTACTACATATTATTATAATTGGTGTCATAGGAAATAGTTTGTACTCCTGTCACCCATTTGCGAGAGGGTTAGAAAAAACGCCGCAAAATCCTAGGTAAAGGCAGTCTGAAATATAAGGACAAGCTAAAATAGTAGCTAAAGTTGGTCAATATTATGTGCCTGTTTATGATAACACTGGAAGATTAAGTCTCTTCTTTTACTATCTTACACCCTTGTTCGGGAGAGGAAGGAACTTCTAAGAGGAGAAAGGCAACAACAATATAGAGGAATTTTCAGGAAAAAGCACGCCAGTGTTTTTCACAAGTGTACTTTCTAACACCAGGGCAGACATGCATAGTGATAACATCTTTCCAAATAATCAATCCCATTTTTATCTAGTTTGGTCACATTTGAAGAGTGTTCTTGGTAGAATCTCTTGATTCACAAGCATTTCTTCATAGATCTTCTCTCACATGTGTGAAAGGCAGGAAAACTGGGAGTAAATTTGGACATATGGACCTTGTATCAGGTAAGAATCACTGGAGAAGTTATTGATAACCATCTAGTTCATGCTACAGAGGTTCAGAAAGAGATCTCATCCAGAAGACAGTAGGTATTTTCATGCCTTACTGATTTCCTGTTTTTTGTCTGTTTCTTGGAGCCCCAGAAAGGTTAGTCTCTGGAGGATCAATGCCCTATTTGAGTCTCCCTCTGCCCAGTAAGAAAACTCTACCAATCTAGATGACAAAAATCTGAGGACATAGGACATCATCTGTGGCAATAACAATGATAGGGAGCTCTGAAGCCGTTGTGCTACTCACTGATGCACTTTGGAAGTGGAGTCCAGCCATTTTCTTGACACTGTATTGCTCCTGTTTCATGTCCCTCTGGAGTTACAAAGCCAGTATGACATCTATAGATGACCTCCTCCTGTAAATGAAATGTTTTCTTTCCCAAGGTGAAATAACCATTGTCAAAATTGATATTCTGGCACTTTTCTGAAAGAGACAGACAGGATTTCTTCCAAGTATAACACTGCTAAACTACATGCGTATAATGCACAGAAGGAGGTACACAAATGAAACAGCAGTAGGATTTAGAACGTTTTTTAAGAGCGCATGAATTTTTGCTTCTGCATGGAGCTCTCTTCCTAGGGGACAACTGAAAAGTGGAAAGTCAAAGTTCAGAGTTACCAACTCGTGCAACAAACAGAGATGGATTGGGATTTGATTTGCAGCAATCCTGCAAGCTTCCAAAAGTGTATGTCCACATATGGTATTCACTAAAAATGAAATTCACGTTGGGCATGCATCACACTGTGCATGCATAAAGAGGATTGTCTGTCCATATTGCATGGGGGGACATATCAGAGATCACTATGGTGTGCACGCACCACTTCAGCTCTACCGAAGAGAAAACATTCAGAGTGCACATAATGCAGGACTAAAGCAAATCTGTACCAAAGGACTCCTTCTTGCACACTGAAACATTAGTGCAGACAGACCCAATGTTGTAACTGATTTCACATCACTTGGAATACATTGTTTAAGTCAGTCTAAATAGATGGAAATCGGTCGTCTTGGTTGGATGTTATGGTCTTGTATTCTGAAAGAAAACTTCTGTAGTATGCTACATCCTTTACTAAGAAATCATTCTGTGAAGGAGTTTCTTCATTTTAAGAACACTACAACAAATAGCAATAGTTGCACATTAGAGAGTCAAGTAAATAAAGTTACAAAAAAAGATACTGATGAACACTAGAGAATGTATTTGCTTGTTGGCAGCAAAGTTAATCATACTTTAGTGCAACATCTTCAAAAGCTCCAATTTCACATAAAATATTTTGGTGTTTAAACCAGTGATGCTCAAGATTGGCTAACACTAGGAATCACAAAATTTTTCCTTGCTCATTGGTATGTCAAAATCTCAGTGAGTGGTGGTCCAAAACACTCTATGGGCAGTTCTATCAGGGTAGAACTGTTTCTTAAAAATATATTTTTATAGTCCAAGAAAAGTTAGATTGAATTATTTATTTTGTCCATATGAAATAATTATCTAAATATTATAAAGTTCCCATGAGACATTCTAGCAATTTCATGCTTGGTGCAAGTCAGGAACAAAAGCTGGAGACAGAGTTTGAAGAGGTAACTTTTCTATTTCTCTCCCCTTCCAGTATGATGCCAACAGGAAAGGAAACATAGCAAGAAGCTGAAAGGAGACAAGAAATTATGGCAGGCTGCACAAGGAGAATGATTACTATTTATTATATTACTGCACAGCTATGTTACAACAAAAGTTCGCTACTGAAAACAAAAAGACAGTGACTCCTATCCCAGAGCTTACATTCTAGGAGATCTGAATGAGTCAAGTATGGACATTTTACAGGGTTACATTCTGCACATTTGTATAGTGACTGACCTCAGCAGCATACAGGGATGTCCTGGTTTTGCTGGGATAGAGTTATTTTCCTTAGGGTAGCTGGTGAGATTTTTATTTTGGTTCTCACCAGCAGATGTTTAAATTTCTCAGGGTTTCTCTTCTAGTATTTTGCTGGCATCTGTGGTTATTTCCCACCTCCTCCCCACCCTGCCCCCTCCGCCCCTCCCTGCACAAGAGGATGGGGGGAAGTGAAAGCCCAGGATTTTCTGGAACAGGTGACCTAGGACAGATGATCTGGGTATGAGCTAAGTGGAGTAATAAAGATGTACTCTATCCCAGAGTCACACTCACTATAAATTGGGGAGTTTGCAGGAGACAACCCGTTTGATCCCTCCCTCTCTTCTTTCCTTCCCTTCTTTTCTCCTTAATGATGGCAGCCTGTCCTGGTTCCTGAGGCTTACCTCTCCCCTGTTGCCTTTTTATTGGTGTACTGCTGTTTGTGAGATGACTATAACTTTGATTGCTTTATTATTGTTGTTCCCATTCTTATTGCAATTCATTATTATTATTATTGTTATTGTTATTGTTTGGTTTGTTATAATTGTTAAATAGTCTTTATCTCAACTGATGAGTTCTTTTATTTCTACTCTCCCAATTCTCTCCACTATCCCACCAAGAAGGGGGGCATGACTAACCGAGCAGCTTTGTGGTGTTTAGCTGCTTGCTGGGTTAAACCATAACAAAGGAACATGAGAGCTGCATGACCCAGTTGAGAAAATCATAGCATTGTGTTTCAGCTCTAAAGCACCTGGACTTAGAGTTACTAAGCAGTGGTGATGTATTAATGCAGGTGATACGATGACGGATTTATCAGTTTTAGCTAGAAACTTCAACAAAATACAAGCATACTCACTTTTACGGATACATCTTGGAGGAGGTGACCAGTCATCCTTTGTGCATGTGACTTCCCCATCTTCATGTTCAGTATAATAGTCATCATTGCAGACATATTTAACTCTGTCACCTTCCTTGTAAACATTCTTCTGGCTATATGAGAAATAACCATTTTCCAGCTGTCTGACATGACATTTTTCTAAAGAAGGAAGGTGAGTATATTTAACCACAGTGATCTGTACAGCAAGAACTGAGATAAATTAATTATTAGGAATACAGTTACTAAAAAAGGGCCTCCTAGAACCTTTCTGTTTCCTTCTATCCCAAAAAGACATTAATGTTCAAACCTGACTGAAAGCATGTTTTGTTTCACTGCCCCAAGATTAATGAATCACAAGAACAGAAGTGCAAGTCACTACATACAGTGCTAATAAGTGGTCTAGTAAAGATGATCACTTACCTAGGGTTTATAAGCAAGGTTGGCTAACTTCAGTACATCTAGCATCACATACACCAGCTCTGGTTTGGTCTGCTATGTCTCCAAAACTTCGATGTCTGCCCTGAGTGATTTTCAGCACTTGCTTACAGGAGATTTTATCATTTCTGTGCAAATGTACCAGCCTCTCAAACCAGCTCTAGAGATTTTTGCAACAGCTAAGCACACTGGCTGTACAGCATTCTGTGCCCCCAAGGGTCCAGATACAATGAAGATGGCTGAAAGAATGTTATAGCTGTGTTACTTCAGTATCTGGCCCTTTCCTCCAGGCAGAACTCTTTTTGTTTCCTGCATTGAGCACCACTCCACTGAGGGCAGCAGGGAAAGATCAGCTTGGAATGGCTTAGGGACATGGTTTAGTGGTAGACTTGGCAGTGCCAGGTTAATGGTTGGACTCGATAATCTTAAAGGTTTTTTCCAACCTTGATGATTCCATTATTCTATATTTACATAGGGCAGAAACTCTCTGGTTGCATATGTGCAACTCTGTGTGAAGATAAAAGTAGATGCGTGCAAGTGACCCAGAAGTCAGAGAAGAGTAAAATTTCCTATGTATTTCCAAATCTCATGGATAGTTTCAGGTGTAAAGAATCTCCACATTTCAAAAACATCATTTCAGCCTTACTCATATCAGTGTCACTTACCAGCTGACAGTTTGAGCTCTGCAGATACAATGGCAGTCTAGGTGCAGTTCCAGTGGTCAATTAAAGCAGCTCTACTTTAACAAACTGCTCTTTGTTCTGTCTTGTGCTCCCATCAGCACAATTTCTGCTGTACAGAACTTTGAAAATTATAACAGAATTGAACATATAGTGGAAATATACTTACTGAGGCATTTTGGCTCTGGAAACCAGCCCATTTCAGAGCAGACCATTCGAACCCAGTAGTCTCCAGTTGGGGTTGAATAACCATTATTGCAGTAGTAATCAGCATGCTGCTTAAGTCTCATTGGAAAGTAATAGTCTCTGTAGTACTCCAGCGTTCCACTTAACTTGCCATTTTCTATAGCTGGGTAGTCACATGGTTTCTCTTGAAATAGAATTTAACAGCAACAGCATCAACACATGCATGACAAAAAGCTCAGAAATTAATTTAGATTCAGCTTCATCATTTAAGTGTTTTCTGAAACTGATAGAATCAGGACTGCACAGCACAGTCCAAAGGATCCAAAGGAACACAGAAGCAAATGAACTCTGCTTCTGATGTCTTTGTCATGACCCATACCTATGTTGGTTCTTTCCATTCCCATTGCAACCAACAAAAATTCAGTCAATAGTCTCAGCAGACTTAAAGCTGTTTCACGAGACCAAATGTAAGTACTTGTCCTACGGCGAGATGGCAATTTCTTTGTAGAGTGTCTTGACTAAATTTACTGTACTAATCATGATGAGACTCCAGACAGTTAACTTAGATATAGACACTGAACTGTGGACTCACACAGAATCACAGAACGTTAGGGATTGGAAGGGACCTCAAAAGATCATCCAGTCCAATCCCCCTGCCGGAGCAGGAACACCTAGATGAGGTTACACAGGAAGGCGTCCAGGCGGGTTTTGAATGTCTCCAGAGAAGGAGACTCCACAACCTCTCTGGGCAGACTGTTCCAGTGCTCTGTCACCCTCACTGAGAAGAAGTTTCTTCTCAAATTTAAGTGGAACCTCCTGTGTTCCAGCTTGTGTCCGTTACCCCTTGTCTTATCATTGTTTGTCACCGAGAAGAGCCTGGCTCCATCCTCGTGACACTCACCCTTTAAATATTTATAAACATGAATGAGGTCTCCCCTCAGTCTCCTCTTCTGTAAACTAAAGAGACCCAGCTCCCTCAGCCGCTCCTCATAAGGGAGATGCTCTACTCCCTTAATCATCTTTGTAGCCCTAAGTTAAGCCCTAGTTTTAAGACTCTTAAAACTGAGATGACTCTTGTCACCATTTCAATTTGTAACTTTTAGGGTTCTGCACCAAAAGGTCTCCCTAGCTCTTCTCATTTTTATTTAAAAACTATACTGTTTTTCTTTTGTTCTCTCAGTTCCTCAAAAGAACTGACCCTTTTCAGGGACAAGCCAAGGCTAGAAGGAGGAGGTCCCCAGAAGCTCTCCTTGAAGTTTACACAGGGTGTCCTACTTGGCCACAGCAGGTAGATTCTTCCTGAAGTGCTCTGACCCAGAGCCTACATGCTGGGGCAGGTGAGATGACCCACTGGACCAGCCATTCAATAGTCAGTGAGGTGGTGTCAGAATGATACCTGAATTTTAGAACCCACACATACATAGAAAAAAGATTAATCCAGATATTAACAGTGCGGTTTTCGGGAACAGTTCAAATCACCCAAATGTTCATTACAAAGACTGATTTCATCAGGATTTCCCTCACGTTCTAAGTTTTTCTTTTATTTTCAGCAACGAAAATTTGGGGAGCGTTAGATTATGAAATTAATTGCTAATGTATTTATTTGTTAAAACTGTGCTTACTGGGCAAAACTAGCATTGCAGTTATGGGAAGTTTAAGCCAAGAAAGGACTCATTAACAAACAAGAACTTCTTGGTTTGTTATTTGACAGGTTATAATAGGTAGAATAAACCTGTGAATGTTCATAATGTACCAACATACAACTGCAAGTAAAAATGTAAAGCTGTGATAACTACAGTTAAAGATACCTTCCAACTATTATCTATGTTTTGTTTTGGATGCTTTAACACTCACTACGTTACCTTACTTCACTACTATGCTACTCCTCAGGCAGACCATAAACCTTTCTGACAGGGAGCTGACTATAGCACTCTAACACATGCTTTCACAAATACACCCATGTTTATAAACAATGTAAATGTAGAGTATATCATTGTTTTTATAGATGGTTTTTCTAAACCATCAAACTAAGCTTTATGTCATGAAGAAACACAATGAACAAGCAACTCCCTTTTTCACAGATATTTCCAACATCTCTACCTGTTGTGCCTTCATTCATGAGAGCTACTTACGGACACAGCCTGGATCAGGCACCCAGCCATTCTTGGTGCACTCAGCTGTGCTTTTGCCAGTTGATGTTCTAAAATGATATCCAAGATTACACTGTATTGTGATTTCATCACCTACTACGTAGTTGTCTTTCTGAGGTCTGAAGTTCCCATCAGGAATTCTTGGAGGAGAGCATACAATTTCTAAATAAAAAGAGAAAAATTGGATACTAATTTGAAGAATATGTTGATATTTGTTGCATAAGTTCTTATTTTCATAGTATATTGACCATAACTGCATGAAATTGTTTAAAAGATGTTTCTTAGGGCAAAGAAAAGGCTACATTTCTCTCCCACTATTAGAATGTATGGTTTGGTAAGAGAAGAGTGACAGCTGTTACTGATGCCATGCTAATTATAAGATTAAAGCTTAATTGTAAAAAGAACGGTTGAAGCAAGAACTAGAGGTGATCAAACTGAACTTGACTAATCTTTTCCAGTAGGTCATTCCACAGCTAGAGCTCAAAATGATCTATGCTGGGCTCACTCACAGATCCCCTGGGCTCATTTATGTACACTGTCCCAAAGGACAGGAGGTTTACTAGCAGGTCCTAAATGGAGAAATAACAATACTTAACTAGGAACCAATCATTCAAAAGCTATGTGATTAATATTAGGGTCTTGTACTGACACTGGAAGTATTTCAACAACTGAGAAAGGATGATAATACTATTCTAAAAAGTTTGCGATATCTTTATGCTCAGAGAAGCCAGGCAAACATATTATTTATAAACCAGAGTCTGTCTTTTGGGTCTTCTTGTATTCTACTTCCAATTTAGAAAATATCGCCAACATACTCAGAGTTGGAAGGCAATGACTATAAGGTAATACAGGTTGGTCCTGCTGTGGAAGGAAGGTGGGTGAATCAGCTGTGTGCATGTACTCCTGAATCACCTAGCTTCAGTGGTAAGTCAAGTAGGACCCAGAACCACTAACTGAACATGCCCAAAGTATCAGAGCCCAGTACATCAGCGTCTGGAAGAATGTTTTGTTTGGCACTTCTCAAAAGCAGTATGTTGCTAAGCCGTAGGCAATGTGTATTAACTAGTACCATTACTAATCTTGAAGCAGAGAGTTCAAGAACTGAGTAGGCACTAAGACTGACTACTTATTTCTAAAGGAATCTTTCTGGAACAGGTCCACGGAAGGTGGGTGGTACATAACATCCTACAACGTTGCCTTGTTGTCAACATTTTTTTTCAGTTTCATGATTGGCAATTTCTTGAAGACGATTCAAGGTATTAATTATGTCCCCAAAATAGACATCAAACTATTTCAACTGGGACATAACATACATATTTCTGCTTGTGGGATTTGGAGATTTAATTATAGTCTTTAAGTGTTGTTGTTGAATGAAACTAAAGTAAAATCTATGACCCAGAAGGCTGATGTCAAACAGGACTACCCTCAGAAATTATGGATTTGTCAACTTAACTGCTCAGAAGGTATCTGGAAGTTAAAAAGCAGGAGGGAGTCTCAGTATTGCAAATATATTAATTTGTAGAGAGTCTCAGACAATTTCTGATGGGAAGTTTGAACACCACAGATAATGTGGTTTGCAGTTACAGTTCAGATTACAGTAAACAAATTGCTGTCTTCATCCTAGAATAAGGGTCATGGACAGTGGCAGGATTCATGCATACTATGTTACTTCAATCTCTGTTGATTTTCAATCACTTCATGTCCATGGTTCTTAGGGTTAATGAACTTCAAATTTATGTGGTACACAATTCTTGACCTAATGGCTGTGTAGAAAGTACTATTGTTTTCAGCTTTATGTATAATCCAGCACTACAGTTCCTTCGTAATTTTCAGTTTAGACACTTATGGCCATCAATGACTACTTATTCTTCTGAAATTGGACTTCACATTTGCTCAAACTCCTTTGGAAATGGCCACATCAACTTCAGATTATTCTTACTATTTCAGAAGAACTCTTGAAAGGCAGCTTACAAATTTAAGTAAGGATTTTAATTTGAAAGAAACTTTGAAAGATACTTTTGTAATTCCCAGTCATTTCCAAAAGGTTGCACAGTACACTACGAATTTCTTGTTGAAGTTCAATCAGTGAAATAGGGATAATTTTTGAATTGTTCTTCGTTGGTTGGAACTGGTTGATCAGAACTAGTAATCTATAAATTTCAAGAATAGAGATAATGACTAGCAACCAGGTGCTCAGTCAGCTCAAACTACAGTAAGGCTCACCAGGACACTTATAAAAAATGCAGAGGTCAGTTCAATAGGTCAAGCAAACTGCTATTGTCTCAAATGTTCATACAAGGTGAGATGTTGAGTGGTATTTTACTGAGTGGTTAGTCCTATGATTACAAGCAGCAGTGTCTTGGCTATTGTGACACAGCATCTCAACTAATGGAGACGTGAAGATGCCTTAACTTGCATCTCCCCCTCAAAGAACCGCTTGTGATTCATAAGTAAGTCATCAAGCTAAGACTATTTACTTTCCCCAATTTATTCATACTGCTGCAATTCATATAGTATCAAACAAATATTTCTTTACCCAGTTGTCTGACATAGAGCATAAGCACTGACTTGTACCAGTTACGTTCATGCTAAACACACTTTAAAAGGTATCAAGATTTGATAGACTTGAATAGGACTTCAAAAACTATACCACTTCTCTAAGAAGTTGGTTTCAAATGTTAATTTTCCCATGTCATTAAAAATTTCAGATTCCTTTTGTAGTGTGAATTTCTCTAGTATTAATACTTTTTTTTCCTGCTTGCTTAAATATTCTTTTTAGTGTCTGATTTTTCCATTCCTTAGATAAAATATTTTCATAGCTAAAGAGATTCAGCTTTATCCTTCTTTTTTGTTTAAATTGGGATTTTTTTCTTACCCAAGATACTTTTTCCTATGTTCTCCCCACTAATACAGTAACATATAAAAAAAAGAAGAAAACAGCAACAGCTACTAATGCTGTATGAAGTATGTTAGCTTCATTTATGCAGTATACTGGAGCAATCGTGTCTTCACGCACCTATTTAACAACACTCAAGTAACAAAAGACTAAATTAACTATTTTTGCCACTGCCCTCCATGGAATACTCTTATCCAGTTGTTCAGTCTCTTTAACACAATCTTTCCACATCTCCACGGGGTATTGGTCAGATGTGGATGAATTTCTTTTGTTATGAATCAACTAACTTTTGCTGTCACCAATCTCTTAAATTACTTCCAAACACAACAAATGGGCAAAATAGCTTTAGGCAAGGCTAACCAGTGCAATAGGGTGTTGGATTCCATCCTGATTCAGTACATCGTACATCTGCTCTTTCACCATATCTGTATCCTTCATCACAGGCAAATTGTAGCTGTTCAGATTCCTTGTAAGACCTCTTAGGGGAACGCACATATCCATGCAGAATTTTTGGCACATTACAGATAATCTCTGAAAATGAGAAATAAAAAAATCCATATATTTTTATTTTCATTTGCTGAGAATAAATGACTATTAGAATGAAGTTTCGGTTATTTTCATTCGACTTCACGAAAACCCTTGCATTTGGAAACTGTTCGAAAAATCTTTGAGAACTCTTCAATGACTTGATTGCGGGTGCCAGCTAAAAAGTGTGGTGCAGCACAGCATCAATAGCAAATTGGTTCATGAGACAGATTTCAGGGCTTTGCTTTGGATTTTAATGGATCTCAGAATTAACATAGGGGGCAGAGAACATTCTAAAATAAGCAATTAGGCTAGCTAAAATTTAAGATTGTCCATTTCTCAGACAATTTCATTTCCTTGTAATTTCTAACAAAACTAAAGCTCTGTCCTAGCCACTAGACAATTAGTTAAATCACGGCAACAACAGGAAAAACAGAACTAAACTATCTCTAAAATTAATACTAGAACGCTTCACAATCTATAAAAGAACCTCAGCATCCTCAGCTCCTTGCCAAATCCAATAAAACCACTGAGTTTCCAAAAACTGCATTCATAAAGCCAGAATATATTCAAGATTTTGTTTCTTAGGCCACAGAGCAGGATGTGAAAAAGTTCTCTTGAATTCCTTTGCTGGATTTACTTTGTATTTAGGATTAAATATAGCTCAGTGAAACTGTCATTGTTTAACAAAATTCATTACATCCTGCAAGTGTTACAAGCACATGGGTTCAATCCCACTTCATGCTGTTCAAATTATAATAAATGAGGCTTTCAAAGCTGCAAAATGCAGTGCTGAAATTGTGAAAAAACCCCAACCCCATACCTGTATCTGATACTCTGACATACATACGCTGCTCTTCTAAATGCACACTTTCTGAGCAGATAACATATAAATAATCTAAGAAACCTGATGGACTGAATATTAACAGTGATAGTTATAACAAACTTCCTGAGATTCATTCTTACGTATTGACAATCCAATCCCATACAATTTCTATTTGCAGAATGGGATGAAAAACACCATCCACCAGTACAAGCCACAGGCAGGGCAGGGTGGGGTTGACTGGCTGAAAAGTAGTTTTGCAGAAAAAAACCTTGGCAGTCATGCTGCACATGTTGAACAGGGGCCAGTGCAACAAAAAGAGAAAACAGCATCTTGGACTCCATAGAAAACAGAGTTGCTGGCAGGTCAAGAGAGGCAATCCTTCCCCTCTACTCCACTCTCATCAGACCACATCTGGAGTCCCGTGGTCAGGTCTGAGCTTCCCAGTACTGGAAAGATATGGAAACACTGAAGCAGGTCCAGTGAAGAGAAAAAGATAATTAAGAAATTGGAAAAACTAACAGAGAAAGAGTGGCTTAGAGTCTAGAGAAAAGAAGGTTTGAAGGGGATGGAGGATCTTATTAATGTGTATATGTATAAATTCCTGACTATGGTGGGGCAGCAGAAGTAAAGATGATGGATCCAGACTGTTCTTATTGGCACCCAATAACAAGTTGACATACAGCAAATCGAAATTGAAATACAGCAAATGCCACTTAAATGCAAGAAAAAAAAAATTACTCAAGAGTGGTCACACTGGAATGGGTTACCGAGAGAGACTGTGGCGTCTATGTTTGGAGAAGCTCAAAAGCTGGCTGAACATGGTCTTGAGCAACTTGCCCTAGCTGAATGCTCTGAGAGACCTTCAAAGGTCAGTTCCAACCTCACCTATTCTGTGATTCTGTTGTTCTGTAAACACTAAACACGAATTAGCCTTCTAACTTGTCAAAACTCATTAGTCTGAAGAAAGAAAAATCCATCATGATTTCTCTGTATTTTGTAAATCCTAAGAACATGAGCAAATTAAATTCTTACTTGGTTTTTTTTAACTCTGATTCAAAATTCTTTGTAAGTACTTTGGTTAAATCAACACTGAAGTGATTGAATCTTATGTAGACATACCAAAGCTAGTTTCAAAGAAATTGACTGTGGCCTGGCAAAACATACATCTTGTAGTGAAAGTGTGGAATAAACAGATGGTCCATTATGACTATATTAGCATTGAATATTCTCTGATTTCTCTTTCTTATGCTACTTCTTCTGCATATATGCAATGGAGATTGTTTACAGACAAACTATGCTTAATTGCTATGGAATAAAGTGAAAGCTTTGTAGTTTCCCATATGGTAATCAGTTTTTAGAAGTGTGTGAGCATAAAGTTTCTTAATTACAGATAATAAATATTGTCCTTTTTACCTTGGCACTGAGGCACATCACTATTCCATTTTCCATTAGAGGAGCAAATTATTTCTTTAGATCCAACAAGCCTGTATTTTGCATTACATTCAAAATTTACAACCTGGCCAAAGGAATATTCTCGGCCTAGCTCAAATGCACCAGTCATAATTATTCTTCCATTTTCTGGTGCTTGTACAGGTAAACACTTTGCCACTGGAAAAAAAGCAACAAACAAAACAAAACAAAAGGAAAGGAAAAAATTAGCCATTTTGAGGTCTATTCTGTAAAATAAATTGACACACATAATAACTGACATATTAAAATACAGAAAACTCACTGTAATTTCTCTACACATTTTAAAAATATACACTCATGTTATATATTCAGATACCATTTACAACAAATATAATACAATTCCCCAAGCAAAAAGACAGACTGACATAGGAGGACACTTGTGAGATCCCACCCAATCTGAATTATCCAATGAACATATAAGCAGTATAGATGGTTGGATGAGCCTTAACTGACACATAGGACCATTAAACTTTGTCAAAATAGTTTCATTTACTTTAGAGCTATGGCAAACTGAGTTTGCTATAGACAAATACCCGGAAAAGTGCTGTGCAATAGACAGACTACAACAGTTCAGTTACTAACTAAAACTCCTAGATAAGGATATCAGAACAGTTATATTTCTAAAGTAAACAAACACAATGTTAGCCATGAATTTAGACTTCTTGTATCTCCTAACTTTATAACTGTAGAAAAAGGAAGAATGAATGTATGTCATCAGATGTTTCTTACTAAGGTAGAAATTACTATCAAAGCTCATTCTTAAATATTCACATGGAAATAATAGAGCATGTACAAAAGTGACTGGTGTTTTGCCTAACATAGCTCCCACTACTCTTTGACAGTATTCTCCATCTTATAAGCCACCTGCTTTTTCTATGAGCTCCCATTCTATCTTCGATGTTCCTCACAATTAGGACACTACACAAATACTTTCTTTCATAGGCAATCATATTTCAGACTAATGAAAACTCTTCAATCATGAAAGAAAAATCTTATGAGGACTATGAAACTGCAGTATCTTGGCGACATGACAAAAAAATGTTGGAAACCATTGCTCTGTACTGTGCTGATAGAGATTTGTATGCTTAAAATTGAGGCTACTCAAACTCCAGTAAACTAAAAGTGAAATATATGAGACCAAGGAAATGTCAAAACCCAGGCAACAGACCCTAAACAAGAGAAAGATTTCTACTTTCATTTATGATACTTTACTTAGAGAAGATTTGACTTTACTACTTTCCTGACCTTAGATGCTTAACTACAAAAGAAATTTCACTGCTGCGCAAATATATTAAAATAAACTAGTTAAAAATTTTATTGGGGAAGAAAGGAAGCTTATTTTCATAAACATACAGGTTTGAAACTGGTAAAAAGGTTTCCAAAAACAGAGAATTAGAGGAAACTAGTTAAAAACACATGCTTTTACATACATCCAAAATGCCTCATCCCACCTGCCTTTTGTAACCATGTTTTGCAGACATAAACTCTATCAGGGCCTTTAGGTGAGGCAGAGCTTTAAGCCAGCCTGTGGGTGTCAAGACTCCATATTGTGAATGCTTTTTAACAGAAGCTCAGGTGCTTATTGAATGAAAACGGCTGAGCAGTCATTGTAAGAGTTTCACTGCTGCGTAACTTAAGTTTAAATATACATGTATTAACACTAGTAGAGAGATCACAGACTAGTTCTAGATAGTATCTGACAAATAAAAAGACAGTTTCATGAAGAATTAAACGTCAAACTCCATTTACCTTCACAGTGAGGAATGTCATTGCTCCATCCATTTGCCTGACACTCACGGTAATTTCTTTGGCTGAGCATCTGGTATCTTACCAAATAAAAAGTAAAAAATGCTAAAATACAGTCTCATTATGTGACAAACAGCAGCACTGCCACTTTTGAAACGAAGTAGGTTTCATATAGCACAGACTAACCAAAACATGACAAATGTGAGTAGTTTTTAGGCTTGCCTCTTTACTATTTTGTTTCTTCTAATTTCATAAGGCAAAAAAAAAATAAAAATCAGGAAGTAGTCAGTAAGATGGCTTCTTCGTTACAGAGATAGAAAGCTTTGGCTACGTAACAAACAACCTAAGGGTAACTTACACAATCAATAGCAAGCAAAGTAAAACTTCTGTTGTCTGTGTTCTACAATGACTCAAAGCCATGTGAGAGCATCAAAACAGGACTTAATCCAAACCACATGTATCTCATACTTTAATAAGCTAGTACTGTCTTAGGTTTGAGGGCAATATGATCACAATGCTGTGGCTTCTGCTTTGTCTGAAACGCAGTCAGAGGAAGTACAGCTAATCTGAAATGATAGTGAAGAACTGCCTGAACTTAAAGGATTCAGGAGTAGATTCCAGCAATACAAAGACTGCAAAAGCATGGCTAAGTCACTACATCATGCTTAAAGCTGATTTGCATTTCAAGAGGAAAGAATTCAGTCATAGGCATACTTAACTAGGCACAACACTATATATTTGCCTTCCTGCAGTTTTCATTAGAAAAGACAAATAGAGAAGGGAAAGAATTTCTTCCAAGCAGTTAGTGAAGACACGTTAGTAGTTTACCAGAAATGTCTTCCTTCAAACATTGTTTACAATACGTTTCACTTCAGAACGCAAAAAAAATTATTTAAGCAGGAGTTGTGGTTCTGAACAGGAGACTCTGTTGTATGGCCTAATGACTTCACTAATGTAACTGCATCATGACCGCCCACTGATAGCAGTGATTCCAGCATACAAAGCTGCATTGCCATCTGAACTGGCTGCCTAGTGGAGACGTGAGACAACTTTACAGAAAGATCACTATTCTTGTTTTCTACTCAGACAACCATGATTTCAGGTAAGCTTCAGCCTTAAATATTTTAGACACTTTGCATGACAGCACCAGACACACAAGAGAGTTATCTGTAGTATTAGCATAATCACAGTAATTTAAACAATAACCAAGCATTAAATATTAGTAAGTTTCATATGCATTACAGACAAGAAATCTGTAACTGACACTTATTTTAACATTAACAACTTATGTTAACTCCCATATATTGAATTAAATAAGTATTACCCATCATTACATCTGTACTCAACTCTGGCACCAAATACAAATTCACTTCCACTGGTAAGTTCAAAGAAACCAAACTCTGTGTCTCCAGGATGTCCACAGGGCTTATCTGGTGTGGGGAAAAAAAAAATAAAATTGAATAACAAATTAGCAGGTTTTGTTCCTTTAAAAAGGCTGAGCTCATCTTAAGTGTTATGACAAATTTAATGGTGGAGTGTAACTTCAGCTTTCCTTACAACCTGTGACATGAATGACTTCAAAGCTTCCACTACAGAATCCATCCATGATTAGAAATGAAATCAGCACAATTTCCACCAGACTGTGCTAAGTACAAAGGGATGATCTAAGCCCACCAGAGTCTTTTGGTCCTCCGCCCTTTCTGCTCAAAGTTTCCCCATAGGACTTCTCTCATGGCCTGGCCCTAATATTTGTCCTGGATTCCCAAAAGAGTTGCAAACTCCAATCCCCCTCATTCATCCACTTTTGATGTTATATTATGGACTGCAAAATAAACTACATAGCTAAAATCTATCAGGCCTCCTCAGAAGAAATCTTTCCTGGTCCCTGTCAATCTAGGCAATTTCATTTCTTGGAGTGTATCAGCATCCTTGTTCACTCTAAGGAGGAGGCATTTGAGTAGATCCTAAACCTGCTCCAGTGTGATTCAGAGAAAACAGACCACCTCATGATCAATTTTGCTGTCTAGTGTGGCCTATCCTGAAAAGGGAACATGATCACTTAACCTGTGGCAGACCATCCTTCTCCATCTGCCTGCACCTTGACACTGTCAGTATCTATTCACTGGGTGGCAGTATTTACTAAAATATGTTACTAAAAAGCAACACTAAATTTAGTATAATTTGAAACATCCTTGTTCACCGAGAAGTCACAAAAATACATATAAAAACTGAGAAGTTGACTAAATTAAAAACTTTGAAAGAAACTAGTAGCAACTTTATTTACTCAGTATTTGTATTCATCTCTGTATGAATGACACCTACGGCTTAATTTAATATTATCAAACCAAAGACTTACATTTTACCAAACTAATTTATTACAGAAAATAAAAAGCTGACTATCAATAATAAACTTCAATTTCTCCACTAATGAATTCTTCAAGGATATGAGATACTTCTAAAATCTTAACACAGTATACTAGAGATAATACATAGCAGCTCTCATCCTAATTGTGCATTTTCCTTCATAGGTTAAAAAAGAAGGCAGGGAAAAATAATTTCCTACTTCTATGAAATTGTAACTTTCATAGAACTAGTTGAATAAACTGAAAAGATGACAATACTGTTTCTTAACTCGCATTCAGAAGCTACATTAGTGCTTTATTCTGCTTAGACTGTAAATTTCATCTGCATTAGACTTCTCTGTAAAAATTTGGGAGCAAGCTCCTAATACCTTAATAGCTTAACATAAATCAGGTTAGTAAGGCTGGCCTAGAGTGAGATCTTCTCCTGTAAAGGAAAAAACAGGATAATACTTTGATCTAGAGAAAAGAAACTTTGAAATATGTTTTCTTATGCATACATACTTTTTAGGTTAATATTTTAAAGGATGCTGAAATAAGTAAGTTGCAGGTAAAGATACAATGGCAATTTCACTTTGACATCACTGACAAGAAATGTAACCTACCAGGTCAAATGTTTGCACTTATTTTCCATAAATACTTACTTCTGCATTCTGCCCCTGGGAGACGTTGCTTCCATGCTCCATCAGTGCACTCAAACAGAATTCGTCCAAGTTTTATATACCCAGGCCGACATACGTATGTCACTTGAGTACCATGTGGATAGGGAGGTTTGTCCCATATTTCAGTAGGCACTTCTTTAACCCTCCTAGGAGGAGGTTCGTTACAAGCTAGAAATTGTAAATAAAAATCATGGTGACTGAAGTGCATGCTACAAACTCCAAAATAATTTTACAATAGAAAATGTAGCAGGAAACCCTGGGGACATTTGTGATCAAATGAGCATACGTTTTCTACTTAATCACCACAAAATAGGAAACTGCCAAGAATCCACATTTTGTAGGAACATGAACAGAATTTTAGGGCATAAGAATAGTTAAGCAAGTGCCAAGAAACCACACGGAATGGTCATAATTCATGAAATAGGTTTTAGTTACAAAGACTGAGATCAGTGCCCTGGTTCTAACCACAGGCATGTCTTACCTTTCCATCTTGCTTCTGTCCACTAGAGGGTACTACTTTTCTATCAAAAAAGGTAGTAGGGACTTTTTAACAAAGTTTTTGCAAAATGCAGGAATAAGCAAAATACACAAGACTCCTCTAGCTAATTCTGTCTTTCAAACGTGTTAAAATGGCTAGTTTACCCAAAAAACTTATTTGTAGTGGTGAGAACAGGATTTTTTTCTAATTCTACATAATTTTCATTAGAGTTTATTAAAACTAGTGTTTTCAGTTTGCAAGTTGAGAAAGTACACTGAATTCTACGATTTAAAAATAGCCTATTTAGCACAAGGAGAGCTTCTCTGTTTTGTTCCTCCCTTATTTCAGAATTGAATTATATTTTTATTGTCTGTTGTGCAGAATGGAGCCTCTTAACTCCTCCTTGTTTACATTTAAAAAAACCCCAACAAACACGGAAGATAAACTACTGATAGTCTCTTCATTACTAAGACATGCTTCTTTCTGGGTTTTATTTCAACTGTCTCTGATTGTGCTTTACCACTCCTGCCTTGATGTCAAACTATATATTACCGTAAGTGTCACAGTATGTATATGTATTTCTGACTACAACTAATCATTTTTAATGCAGTTTCTTAGTAGCTTGAGAAGAAACATGCTGACAGTATGTACTTCAAAACTATATTAATTACATCAAATACTCACTATGTGTGATCACCAAAACTGGGAGGGTTTTATTCTTATATTAGAAAGCATGCACTAAATGCCTACCTTCAAATACTTCAGTGAGACAGTAGGAGAGCTGGAATTAATCATTTAGTATTTAAGTGTGACCTGACCTCAGTTAGAAATAGCTCAAGCTGCTTTCTTGCTGTCATTATGCTGGTAGCAACTTACATAAAGTCAAGCACAAACTACAAATTCAGACTGAAATATTTTTCAGCCCTTGTGCAAAAACCTGGCTGTGAACAACTCAGACTTCAATATGAAGCTTGAACTAAGAACCTTGCATGACCCGTGGTAATAGTTGTCCCAAGTAAATCAAATATTGCCACATTCACATTCCTTTGCAATCTCTCTGATCTAAAGAAAGCATTGTGAAAAGGAAGTGCAAATTCAGGCAAACTTTCTTTTCAATTTTCGTGAGTTTTCTAGACTACTTTGCAAACAAGTTACACTTTTAGTGCTTTGGAGTGGTATTTATTTTAAGTACATACAAAAACATAAAATTTTCATTAATGTCCTGATTTTTCAGTTTTTTCAAAGAAATCCATCTGTTGTTTTGATTAATAAGGTCTTCATAATCTTCACCCACAATTAAAAACAACCTGAACTGAGCAAAGATGCAGTAGCTCAACAGCACATAGCACCGTTTTCATACCTAAACAAATATTAAAAAAAAAAATTGAGTAGAGAAGCAGAAAATAGCAGAAGCTTCTGAAAAGACACTCAGAATACTAGCTACCTATTTAAACATGTCCAAAAGCATACCTCTATATGTTTATCTCATATAATGGATTAAAGCCAGTCTGTTATTCAAGAGGTATTTTGTATGCTTTTCAGTCAATTTAGTAATAATTCCTCTTTCTCAGATTCTCTCTCAGATTATTTCAGACAGAAAGAAATGCACATTTATTGAATGTTTTTTATTTTGATCTACCAGCTATTTGCAAGTTTTAGATGTCAGAATAATTAACAAACATAATTAATAACAAATGAGTTGTCAAGTTTTGGTTTAAAGGGATAGTAAGCATTTATAAAGCTGTAAAACAAATTAATAACAGTAGTAGTTACCCAAATAAATAGGTGGAATAACACCTATGACAGGACACTAAATAATAAATATGCCAAATACTGCCAGAAGAAATCTCAATTATTTTTGCTCATTAAAATAGGCTGCAATGCAAAAATTTTATTTATATATTGTTTTAGTAACTATCTTAACTTATTATTTAAGAAAGGCTTGGGTTTTGTTTCCACATTAAAGCTTACCTTTTTCTGCAGTACAATACATCCAACAAAAGAGCAGAGCTATATAACCCAAGAACGACATCCTAGAGATTCAGAAACTGCAAACACATTTAGTATCGTAGCCTACTTTTTGAATTACTTTGTTATTTCCACTCCTTTTTTACTCACTAACTGCTCCAGGGACTGACCTAACAAAGCATTTATACCGATTTCAGCAGTCACTTCCCCTAATCCTCTTGCAACACACAAGTGTTTCTCTTTTTTTTTTTTTCCCCCTCCTCTCCAAACTTTGCTAAATGAATAAATAAATAAATGTCTGGCAATTTTGGTTGAGAGTGTTCCCTGTGGTTTGTTTGTTTTTACGTTACACCTCATTTTTTTCATAGTAATCCCTTCCATTCTCAGATATGCTTATTTCTTTTGGTATCCAAAAGAAGTTGTGCAAACAAATTATTTTGTGATTCTCTGTGTCTTGTATGCTTAGTTAAATCCCAGAAAGTCACACTAAATGTGTGAAAAAATGAACTTCTGTACTATACACATATCACTCAAGACCTATGTTAAAAATAATTTAAACAAAAAGCAGACAAAAAATATAAAGTTATTTACTAACCCACTGGATCTTGTGTAAGATAACCAACTACCCAGAACAATGGAAATGTACTTAATCAAATACTTCATCAAATAAACCTGGGTGATGTTGAATCACTTGTTTCAGTATTATATGAGAAATTGTAAGGTGGAGAAGATTAATTAATTATAATATGGATAATGAACTGTCCAAAGAAAAATAATAAAGACTATGCTGAAAGAAGAACTATATGGCAAACTGGGCTAACAGAGGAACTCCTCATGGATTCTTGTAAGTAACATGAAATAAGTAAGCTTTATTAATATTTTCATTAAATATCTTGGCTTTATAAGAAATGCACTACAGTGAAAATGTGGAACATATAAAGAGAATTCTTTGCAACTGAGAGTTAGGGGAAAAAAAATATAAGACTACAAAGTGCTCTCAGGAGATGGACGCAAAACAGCTGCACACAAGGTATCCATAATGATGATGGCTGACTGGCATGGAGCGTACACAGATCTATCTTGTATATGTACCCAAAAAAACACATAACACACCCTTAAAATCACTGGCTTAGTTAGCCTACTGATACAGGACAAAAAAAAAAAAAAAAAGAGTGTGTTTAGAGAACGTTAACCCACTGAAAAAAGAAAAAAAAAAAAAAAAAAAGAGTGTGTTTAGAGAACAGATCCCAAAACAAACACGTGTTCCAAAGCAGTTAACAGTTTTCTTCTCAAAATGCCACTGGAATTTATTTTAAGTTGGTTTTTTTTGTTGTTGTGTTGTTTTTTTTTTAACCTAGCCTGTCTTTTCAGTTACTGATTCAAATGACTGGTCTTAATGAAAACTGGCATTCAGCTGTTCCACCTACAAGAACTCTTCCAGACAGCATAACTTCTCTTCCTTTCCCTCCCCCTTTCTCTTGCCAAGCAACTCATTTAAGAATGAGCTCTCACAGAATCACAGAATTGCTCGGTTGG